CAACCACACGAAGAAGAAGCTCCTCCGCGGCAGATCTGACCGGCCGACCGAACTAGTTTTCAGGCGAACAGGAGCACCAGGGCAGCCCGGTACATTGTAACTCCGCAGAATGGGAAACCTGCTGCTCTCCTCTAGGTAACACGATTATATTCTGCTTTGATATCAAGGGCAACTTGCATGAGCATTTAAATAAAAAGGAAGAAGCTGATGGTGTTCTACATCCGCCTAAAAAACTGAGAACTGGTTATGATTTTTGCAATACGCATTTATAATCAGCGAGAACTATTTATCCTGTTGCATCGCCATTGGTAGTTGTAGTTGAAGCGTTTTAAAGCAGATCTCATCTATTTGAACCTTTCCCCCCAGGCAAGATGAAAAACTCATGATGATCATGGATGTAGCAGACGTGTCACATAGGAGATTAGTGACATTATTGAAAAATATAATTATATTTAGTTTTTTGTCGATGCCAAACAAAACGGCAATATTTGATTTTCTGATTCTCAGGAGGATGTGTAGTGAAATCGTCAGTTAAATACAAAATAACCATTTGTGTGGGAATTCTTTAAAATTGACAGTTTTTTAAATATTTTATAACATTTTACCATGGATGTGAAGCCTACATATTTGAGTTTATTCATCAACATGTGCTTGCCTATATTTAATGATTGTCTTGTTTTATTTGTGCCTATTATCTGGACTGTCCCTTTGCTGTAACAATGCATATTACCCATTCCAATAAAGGTTTTCTGATTTCTGATATCTCTCTAGGGGTGATATATGCCCGTCTGATCACGTCAACGGAGGAAAGTTTGTTGCCAGGAGGATCAGCAAGGGCATAACTTATTATTTCGCTCCACTCTCGGGGGCAGAGGAACAGGCATTATCTGCTGCCAAAGAATCTCAATTGCATACTGCACTCTGCCCTATTTCTACCCCATCACCCTCAGCTCAGCTCCTCAGTGACCCCTCCCCCGCAGACTCCTCCTCCTCCTCTCCATTGCTCTCAGATTCTCCTTCACACACATCTGCCTCCTCCCAAAACCACTCACAATCTGAATCCACTGCCCGGCCCCTTCTTGTTTTCTTCTCCTGGCTCGGTGCCCGGAAAGTGGCAGTGGCCAAGTACCGGGACCTTTACCTGGACCGGGGCCTGGATGTCCTGCTGGTCCAGAGCAGTGTGATGCACTTCCTGTGGCCTCGGTGGGGGCTAGACTACGGGATGGAGGTTTTGAAGGTTCTGGAGGAGCCTCAGTTTGCAGGGAGAGCGGTGCTGGTCCATGCCTCCTCCATCGGGGGCTACACTTTCACACAGACACTCACCCACATTGCTAAGGGAAAGGAAAAACATGCAGGCCTGGCCAAGAGGGTGATAGGACACATCTATGACAGCCTGGTGGTTGGGAGTCTGGAGCATATGGCGATAGGTGAGTGAGTGTCGCTCTCCTCAGGTTACTTTTCGTAGGATATGCCAGTCAGATCTTTAAATAATTAACTTGTCAGCTGACCAGGAATTATTTGTGGCTGCTCATGTCTGTGCTGCCTAAGGAGAGTGTGTGCAAACGGTTTATACATTCATCAGTTCAGTTATAATATTTGGACATGGTGTTCATATTTTTTTACAATTTAGGCCATTTTTAAACAGACTTAACATGTTATTTCAAACTTTAGTATGACTTTAAATATTTCAGTATATCATAATCTCTTCTAAATCTGCCTTAAAATTGTAGAAAAGGTTTCAGAACTTACCCACACATTTCACATTTTTAAAGGTCCCATGACATGGCCATTTCTACTGATCATAATTCCATTGTTGAGGTCTACTAGAATAGATTTACATTGTTCAATGTTCCAAAATCCCAATCCCATCTAGTATGTGTATTCACTCTCTGTCCTAAACCGCTTGTTGGAGCTCCTGCCCCCCCGTCCCAATGAGCCCACTGTGCTCTGATTGGTCAGCTCGCCGACTCTGTTCTGATGAGTCCACCACCGTTACAGCGGAACATCAGTGATTATGTGTTACAATGGCGTTTGTTAGCAACCAGGAAATGACACCAGTAATGACAAACAGATGAGAATGCTGCGTGGGGTCTGGGTGCCGTGTTGGCGGGAAGTTGCGGGGTTCGCTGCTCCGCCCTTTGAGGCTCGAGGAGCGGACAGTGTGAGCTGGATTACTGGTGTTGTAACACACACACACTCACTGTGAGTGTGTGTGTGGCTGAGAAAAGATAAGGCTGTGTGTGTGTGTGTGTGTGTGTGTGTGTGTGTGTGTGTGTGTGTGTGTGTGTGTGTGTGTGTGTGTGTGTGTGTGTGTGTGTGTGTGTGTGTGTGTGTGTGTGTGTGTGTGTGTGTGTGTGTGTGTGTGTGTGTGTGTGTGTGTGTGTGTGTGTGTGTGTGTGTGTGTGTGTGTGTGTGTGTGTGTGTGTGTGTGTGTGTGTGTGTGTGTGTGTGTGTGTGTGTGTGTGTGTGTGTGTGTGTGTGTGTGTGTGTGTGTGTGTGTGTGTGTGTGTGTGTGTGTGTGTGTGTGGTGTGTGTGTGTGTGTGTGTGTGTGTGTGTGTGTGTGTGGGTGTTGGTGTGGTGGTGGCTCGGAGCCGTTACGTCATGACCGGTACGTCACTATGACCTGGAAGAAAAAAAATGGAAAAAGAGAAATGTCCAACGAGGCGTTCTGGGGCAGCATAGACAGGTATTTTCTGTGTTAGAGTTGTACTCCCTACAGGGTGTACGTTGAGGGTTTTGACTTTGCAGACCGTTTACATGCAGAAAAAGCTACATAACACACAAGGGGACGGGTAATAACCGGAAAAGCATGACATGGGACCTTTACGTTTTTTTCAGTATCAACGTAACCCAGTGGTGGTTGCGTGTTCAACCATTGTAAACAGGGACCACTAATGGCTAATTCAGCATACTTTAAATGTGGCAAATTCTTCAGAAATGTAAGAAAACATAGACAAAAAAACACTAGAAAGCATTTCAGCTGTGGCCCATAACCTTCACCAGTATTGAAGTTTGAAACCCCGCCACATACAGTAATATGTTGTGTATATTTATGTAATAATACCACTTATTATTAAATATTAACCCTCTTGATGTTTTACTTTCTCTATTTTCAGGCCTCGGCAAGACTCTCGTGCCGCGTTTAGAGAGCTTTGTCAAAAACATCGCTATGCTTTACTTCTGGCTCTTCAAAACCCACACAGCAGACCTCTACAACAAAAGCATCCAAGTTTTCCAAGACATCCCGATTACTGCGCCAGCACTTTTCTTCTTCAGTGAAAACGACGCCCTGTGCAACTCGGCTGACATGGAAACGTTAATGGACCGATGGAAGAGGAGGGGTATGACTGTGGAGAGCAGGAAGTGGAAGGAGTCCAAACATGCAGCCCACTTGCGATGCCACCGAGAAGACTACCTGTTCACACTGGAGAAATTCTTGAACTTGCTGCCTATTTCCTCCTTCAAGGCACAAATGTAAACTGCTTTTTATGAATTCAAAGACAATGCTCTTTGATCCTTGTATCTTGCAGCTGTAGCATGATTTAATAGTATAACTTAACAGATCATTTTGACTCCTTGTAAAGCATTCTGTATTGTTTAGTTTAGATTTCATTTAAGGATATATTTAAATTGATATGCACTATTTAACTATTGATTGAGTAGCCTTTTGTCATGAGATGCTTGCTTTGCACAAGAAGTGTTCTTTAACGACCTGTGTTTGCACATTGATATCAGAGACCAGGTTTTTGCACAAAATGTAAGATAATATTTAGAAATAAAGTTAAAATGTGCATTGCATTGTTCCTAACCTCTCTTGTCACCCGTGTTTTATTTCCCGACACCAATGTATATGAACGGCAAAGGCAGCTTTAGATAGTCATTGCATGATGGGATTTTGTTACTTGAGGGATAATAGCTCAGGCAGCAAGCCATTTTCAACAGGCATGATGTAGGACAGCTAATAATAGTAATACTAAATGATATTTATATAGCGCCTTTCAAGGGACCCAAGGTCGCTGTACATGGTGGACAAACAAAACAAATAGACAAACAAAAAATAAAGGAAGCCGGGGGACCAAGAAAGGGCTAGGGCCTGAAGGCCAGGGACCTAAGGCAGCAATGGATTGTCAGCTGGCAGCAGGAATGTGTATCCATTACCTGCACTGGATTTAAAAAGTGAATTTGAAGCAAGCAGGTGATGGAAACATGGCCGACACTGCAACCAGTTCCAGTTGGATAGAACAAAGGTGAGTGTTGAGATTATTGCAGAATTGTAAACTTTTAACGTAAGGGTTTTGGGGAAGAGGCCTTCTGAAGCACTGAAAGCGCTTGTGTTGTGGTTCACCTTTTCCAAGCATATGATACAGTAGGAAATGGCGACATCTGCTGTTGAAACACTGGTGTTGCAAGTGGATTTCTGCATTTAATGTGAGGCCCGGATGAACCTGTTATGTGGAGAGATGTGCGTTTCGAGTGTATCGTCAGCACAACTGGTGGTGTTATGTATTACATGTTGCTGCTTGCTATGATGAGCTAGCATGGATGTCTAAAGAGAGTGTTAAGTGACGTAGACAACTATATGACGTGGAGCAGCATGCTAGCTAAAAATGTCTGCTGGTTTTTAGCTAGCATGTTGTTGGCTAAACCAAGATGACATTAGTTTTAGGTTGGATATTTAATTAACAGACATTCACTCAAAGGGTTACACTTGATAGACCGTGAATAAATAACCGTTTGAAAGCAGTGGTGTAAATTAACTAAGTACATTTACTCAGTACAAAGTAAATAGAATTGTTAGGTAGGCCTACTTACATGACTACTTTGTAGGCTACTTCTACCCCACTACAGTTCAGAGGTAAATTGTTAACTTTTACTCCACCCATTTTTTTTACTACCTTTAGTTACTTTACAGATTTTGATAAATAGGCCATGTGAAATATAATCAACTCTTAAATCAGACTTTAGTTACACCTGGAGTAAATTCACAAGCTACCCTGCAGTATACAAATGCATTCAAACTAGCTGCACCTTTACCACCTTTAGTTGTCGCAAGAAAAAAAGTGCAAAAAGGAAACTGCTGCTCTGTGATGCTAGTTCAAGCCAGATACTTGGCACAATGGCATCTCATCTTGGGTGCAAGTTCATCAATGTTTTGGTTCAGGCTCTGAGCTGAGGAGACCCTCAGGATTGAGTGAAGGTGTGCGTGCAATATACCGGTGGGCCAGATCTAATAGTAATTCAAAATGATCCTGCGGGCCGAAATTAAATCCACCACGGGCCTGATTTGGCCCCCGGGCCTTGAGTTTGACACATGTGCTTTAATGCATCAATAATTATAAAACATATCATATATATTATTCTGAAATGGACCAATCTGCAGAATGACTACTTTTAATTTTGGTACTTTAAGTATGTAGGCCTATATGCCAATACTTTTGTACTTTCACTTGAGTAACATTTTGAATGCAGGACTATTCCTACACTTTAGTACTTCTAACTATACTCACAGTAACCACAAGATCTGAGTACTTCCCACTGCTTTTATTAGATTTGTATCCACCTTTCATTTAACATTCATATCATCGAACTGTATTTTTTTTTAATGAATAATTCAATGAAAATATAGTTTGAAAAGTCTTAATTATTTCCAATGGTATTCATCAAATCAAGTTTTATTTATATAGCACATTTATAAACGATTTTTGGTCGAGCCAAAGTGCTGTACATATAATAAAAATAGCCTACACTAGAGACACTTTACAGCAAATACAACAGCACAGATTGTTCAGAATATCAGTATGAGAAAAACGGCCTGTAATTCATGTCATGTAACTCCCTAAGTACACTCAATCAAAATGAGACCCAACTCTTTTTGTTTGAATTTAGGTCTTCTTTTATTTTATACAAACATTGTTATCACAAACACCAATCACATTGGACAATCATCAAATAGTTTTGCGTACTTTTCCTCAAAAATAACTTTAACATATCACCCATACTAAAAACCAAAAACCTTTTTCTAATTCTAAACCATACTGGCAAAAAAGCTTGCTATATTCATTTTTTTTCAAATATTAAAACAATTTTAATAATAGTCTAGTCAATAAATAAGTGTACCATTTAAAACATTTTATAAAAAACCATTGGAGGAGCATTATTGTAGAAATATGAAATAAAGTGCAAGATATGTGCAAAGGTTGTTGACGTCGCTGAGCTATTATGGAAGGACTTGCATACGTTTGATAGAAGTTTGGATTTCTCAGCAGACTTTGAGTTTGTCCTCTTGGAGAAGAAACTCTTCCAGGTAGCGCTGCACCGTGGTCAGAGTCAGCTGGAGCCGGCTGTCGGGGAAGTTGGTGTTGGACGTCTCTCCTCTGGGTCGTGCCTGGATGGGACAGTCCATAGTCAGGGCGAGGGAACGAACCCTTCCCTCCAAACTGGAGACATCAGCCACAATCTGGCCGACGTCATCTGTGAAAGGGTTCTACAGCTCATTTTCTAAATGTCCGAGGTCATGGCAGATACTAGTCTGTCCCTCTATGGAAGGAGTGCTGGTTTATATCTGTGGATCCAATGGAAACTAAAGAAAAACAAGGAGAACATGTCATTTTAAACCTAAACTTTCTAAAAGTGAAGCAGGATAAATATTCCACATGTTTCTTTTAGAAAACCACTGTTAATATCTGGCAAGCAAACCTTTATCCTTACCATCTTGATGTGGACCAGGGTTATCTTGGGTATGGTTATGATGCTTTGTATACTATTTCTGGTGGAGTCTCTCTTTGTTAGAAATCTTGAGCACCCAGGAGCCGCCAAAGAGACATAAAGAAGAAGAAGTGGTTACCTGTTACAAATACTTGGGTATCTGGCTTGATGACTGTCTCACTTTTAAACTTCATGTCAATAACCTGCTTAAAAAGCTGAGGGTTAGGCTAGGTTTCTTTTACAGAAATAAGTCCTGTTTCTCGCTTGAGGCCAGGAAAAGGCTAGTCACTGTGACCTTTTTACCTGTGCTGGATTATGGTGATTTGTTATATATGAATGCACCTGCCAATTACCTGAGCAAGTTAGATGCTGCGTATCACAGTGCACTGAGATTTTTGACAAATTGTAAAGCACTTACGCATCACTGTACCCTGTATACCAAGGCGGTTATGCCATCACTTACTGTACGGAGGCTCAGTCACTGGTACTTTTTCATTTACAAAGCCATGTTGGATAAACTACCATCTTATATCTGCTCCCTGATCTCTCTGCGAATTGAAAGTACTTATTGCCTGAGATCGCATGCTGTGGTTTTATTAAATGTGCCAAGTGCTAGGACTGTCTTAGGGAAGAAAGCTTTTAGATGTGTAGCTCCACTAACATGGAACAGTCTGCAAAAAGAATGGAAAATTACCAAACTAGTACCACTACATGTTTTTAAAGCTCGGTTGGATGCTACAAAATCAGATGCTGTTGGTACCTGTACTTGTGGTTAAATATGTAAATTGTAATCCCTGTACATTTTGCTGTATGATGTCCTTTTGTTGTTCTGTTGTTTATGTCTTCTTGTGGAACCTACTGCTGCAGGTCTCCCTTGAAAAAGAGATCATTGATCTCAATGGGATTTTACCTGGATAAATAAAGGTTTTGAATTTGAATTTGAAAGAAGGGCCAGGAAGATGTACATCCTATACAAGAATCAGTTATATAAATAAAAAATAAAACTCAAATTCATGCATTTCAATGAATATGGTAGTAAACCTATTCTTTTTAAACTCAGTGACTCAGTGGCACAGTATTCCCAGAACTTAAATCGACGTCAATAGTTTTGTGGAAGAATCATGAAGTGTACTTTGCCAAAACAAACAGTGTCATAATCCAGGTGCACGGATCGTGGAAATACATCACTACTTTATGTCAGAGAAACAATGCAGATGGAAATACTGATGGAAACTAGAATGGAGAAATGAATGGGAATTACCTCTTTGGTCAATTGCAGTAAATGGACCTCCTGTTAATTGTCTTTTTAACCATAGAACAACTTGTTGAGTGATGACTTATCGGCACAGGAAATAGCTGTGGTTTAATACTTAGGATTCTAAAGCTCCCTCAGGGTCAGATATGACACCCACTTTTGATTTGCTCAGTGATTGATTGTCAAAGTGTATGTTCCTTGGAATCTTGGAAAACAATTGGTATATGTCTTCCATGATATCACTTATCTTTTATTTATTTTCCAGCCAATGCATACCATTCTGTAGGGACCTGGAACTGAAGGGTTGCCGGTTCACATCCCGATCGGACCAAAAGAAAAACGGAGTGTGGACTGCAGCTGCTGGAGAGGTGCAGTTCACCCCCTGGGCACTGCCGAGGCGCCCTTGAGCAAGGCACCGAACTCCTGACTGACCTTTGGCGCCGGACCAATCAATCAATCAATCAATCAATCAATGTTTATTTATATAGCCCAATATCACAAATGTTACATTTGTCTCAGTGGACTTTACAGTTTGTACAAAATATCAGTATGACAATACGACACCCTCTGTCCTTAGACCCTCACATCGTACAAGGAAAAACTTCCGGAGAAAACCCACAGTTTAAAGGGAAAAATGGGAGAAACCTCAGGGAGAGCAACAGAGGAGGGATCCCTCTCCCAGGACGGACAGACGTGCAATAGATGCCGTGTGTAAATTGAAAAGATAATACATTTGCAACATAGGTAGTCCAAATGTTTGGAAATGCATGTGTGTATAATAGGAAGATGAATCCACGAGGATATCCATCCAGGACCTATGATCCAGGACCACAGCCACGACTCAAGAT